TATTTTATTATAACAGGATTTTTTCTATAGCATATTAATTTCCAGGTGTTTCTATGAGAATTTTCATGTTCTCTCCTAATATATCTATGAAGAAGAAATGGAGCTGTGATATTTATTGTGCAGATGAATGAACAGGAGCTCAGATGAGTTAAGCCATCCAAGTTGCAGGACATAAAGGTGCCTAACTAATAGTCCATTCCTTATTTTTCCAGGCCCAGGGTTAATTTGGGTGAATGAGTAAAGTATACGAAACTCCTACAATTTGTATGTGGCTTTTATGTATCTTTCTGAGGAGGGTGCACAGCTTTCATTAAGTTTTCAAAAGGCCTGCTGACCCAAAACTGATTAAGAAGCACACTATTCTAGCTGATTCTTGTGCCTTCCTATTCTCTATCTGTACCTCGACATTTTTTACTGATCTATGAGTATATCCAATGCTGAGAAGCCTCAGATGACTGAAAAGTTTTTTTGAAGAGCAATTCTGAACAGATAAAATTCTAAGGGATGAGTGACAAAAAGGACAGTGAGAAAAGTAGACACACCTCCCCAGAAATCCAGAGTAAGGCTTATTTTTTTCTTTCTAATTTATGAATGACACTCCAGTTTTTATGACTTTGGCCCACTCAGGCAAGGCCTACCCAATTCTACTTCCCAAAGGAGCAACAAAGCTACGATGATAAAGATTTGGACAGAAATACATCAGTCACTTACTATTTACAGTATATAAGAGATTATTATAGACATTATGTTACACTATAAACAAGGTCCTATACCAAATTTTAGCAGCTCATAATAACTTAAAGTACTTTGATTTAAAATATGATGGTCAGAGTAGGCATCATTGAGAGGTATTGTTTTGCCAAAGACCTTAAGGAGGAAAGGGAGTAAGCTATGAGGAGGATCTAAGCAGTAAAAAGGTACAGAGTTGAAAGTGACTCCCATCAACCTGTTATGACCAATAATTTAGTTGTATCATGTAAGGTCTTGCTCTGCATGATAACATTTCAGTTAACAACAGACCACATATATGATGGTGGTCCCATAAGATTACAATATTGTATTTTTACTGAAACTTTTCTATGTTTAGATATACAAATACTACCATCGTGTTACAACTGCCTACAGTATTAAGTACAATAGTATGCTGTACAGGTTTGTAGCCTAGAAGCAACAGGCTACACCACACGGTTTACAGCCTGGGTGTGTCACAGGCTACATCATCTAGTTTTGTTAAGTACACTCTATGATGTTCATGAAATTGACTAACAACACATTTCTCAGAACACATCCTCATTTTTAGGCAACGCCTGACTATACAGCAATTGTAGCATCACACATTGGTTTTAGGTCATAAAATCACTTCCACTAGATGTTTTCATTTTATAATAATACTTTCGGACAGATAATTTTTTCAAATAAAAGTATTTCCGTTCCTCAGCATCTCTGAGCTTTTTAGTTCAGTCCATTTGAGCTATATAACTGAAAAGGATACAAATATTTGACAATGAAGACTGTATGGCTAATTACCAAATATGAATGAAAGTGAGGTGAACTACATACCTACACATTATCTATGAAAAAAATAAAATCACTTATCTTAAAAAAGGTTAATAGTACACAGACCTGA